GCGTGCGTGCGGGGCGTGCGTGCGTGCGTGCGTGCGTGGCGTGGCGTGGCGTGGCGTGGCGTGGCGTGGCGTGGCGTGGCGTGGCGTGGCGTGGCGTGGCGTGGCGTGGCGTGCGTGCGTGCGTGCGTGCGTGCGTGCGTGCGTGCGTGCGTGCGTGCGTGCGTGCGTGCGTGCGTGCGTGCGTGCGTGCGTGCGTGCGTGCGTGCGTGCGTGCGTGCGTGCGTGCGTGCGTGCGTGCGTGCGGGCGGGCGGGCGTGCGTGCGTGCGTGCGTGCGTGCGTGCGTGCGTGCGTGCGTGCGTGCGTGCGCTGTGTGTGTGTGTGTGTATGGGTTGTGTGTGGATTGTGTGTGTGTTGTGTGTGTTGTGTGTGTGTGTCTGTGTGTGTGTGTCTGTGTCTGTGTCTGTGTGTGTGTGTGTCTGTGTCTGTGTGTGTGTGTGTCTGTGTGTGCTGTGTCTGTGTCTGTGTCTGTGTCTGTGTCTGTGTCTGTGTCTGTGTCTGTGTCTGTGTCTGTGTCTGTGTCTGTGTCTGTGTCTGTGTCTGTGTCTGTGTCTGTGTTTGTGTCTGTCTGTCCGTCTGTGTGTGTGTGCGCGCGTGCGTGCGTGGTGTGTGTGTGTGTGTGTGGTTGTTTGTGTGTGTGTGGTTGTGTGCTGGTTCGTTGGTGTGTTTCTGTGTCTCTGTGTGGTTGTGTGTGCGTCTGTGTGGTTTGTGTGGTTGTGTGAGTGCGTGTCTGATTGTTTGCGTGTTTGTTTGCTTGTTTGTTTGCTTGCTTGTTTGCTTGCTTCTTTGCTTGCTTCTTTGTCCATTTGTTTGTTTGTTTGCTGGCTGGTTGGTTGGTTGGTTTGAAGATACCTCATTATCTTGTTGGGTTAAACGGGAATCAAAAGTAGGGACACCGCCAGTTTCGGGGTTGCTGGAGTGGGTAAATTTTGTAATTTTGACACATATATACACGTGTCAGAACACAGCCCCCGACGAATCAGATCGGACGACACGCCTGGGTTGGATGCCATAGAGGAGCTTCCATCTGGATTGCCGATGCACTGGAAGGGTCCGAGAACCGCCAAGGTAAGGGTGATGAACAAGGCGAACAGCAAAATGCCGTTGAGGTTGAACACCTCAGCCGCAAGTTGAGGTGCCAATGATCCCAAGTCCGTGTGCTCCAATTTGTGTTTCCTTCCAAATGGGTCAACTGAATTCCGATATTCACGAAGGTGGTTTAGCCGCAAGGCCGCGCTACGCCACACTAAATGTGGAAAGGCCGCCTGTGGCCGCATGACGTGGGCTTAAGCTTAAGCTGAGCTTGCACACATCAAGGTACCCAACTCAAACCATCTATGCTCAACCCATTCGACCTAAAAAGGGCACCTATGGTCAATCATTCCGAACCAAAAAGATATGCAAAGGGCCACAGAAGGCCACGAGACATTCCCAGCCGAGCCTCGAAGGGTCAACACAAACGGCAGATGCCCAAAGCCGGCATTCCTCCCATGATTCGTGAATACGACAACACCTGAGCTAGCACTTGAGAAGGGGAGACACGAAAGGAAGGATACCGCAAAGTGGTCCCCCGAATGAGTCGGAAAGTGGCTTCCCCGAATGTGTCCTCTGAAAGAAAGGAAAGTGCGCGTGGAGCTCAACAGCTTGAGCATGTTAAGAGGCAATTTCCGTTCCGCGAAAAAGGGAAGGACTTGTTGACCATGTAAAGTGGGGCACTGACAAAGCGAAGCAGGGACAAGGTGCACCGTGACTGGGCGCAAAGAAGCGGACCGAAGTGTGAAGCGAAGCGAGCAAAAAGAGTGGTAAAAGGAACGAAGCTGCCAATCAGGCACGCAGGGGGGTAGGTGGGGGGGGCAGAGGGCGGACCAGGGGGAGTCGAAGGGAAGGGGCAGGGGCCATTTTTTGGCCCAAACCCCCTCAGTCTCAAACTCAAGCAGCCTCCTTGAGGCTACCTTCGTGAATTGGCAAAAGCCTGGTTTGGGCATAACTGACACGCAGCATATATACATTTATATATATATATATATATTATCATTTATTTGTGCACTATGTATATACATGATCCACGGTCAGAATTACTTAGACTCAAAATGCTGACCAAACCTCATATGAACACTCATATTACATGTACAGGAATGTGGGCATGGAACCCAACAAATTGTGGTTTACTCTTGGTCTCCCTTCAAACCAACCTGGAAAGGGCACCCTGAAAACAAATCATGCATGTACAGAAACATGGGTTTGTCTCAAAATGAGAGAACCCCAGTTGAATTGGTTTCCTGGCGTCTTCATTGTATCTTAAATGCAGCCAAAAGCGGGTTCTCCCAACAAAGGATGCGCTCCAAGGTCCATGACTGCAACCCCAAGCAACCAGTCCTTTTGACCATGGCACATGTGTCAAATAGGTGAACCTCCTCGAACCTCCAAACAAAAAAGGAGTGGTTCTCCTTTTGGCTTCCCCTTAAAATCCACCAAGGGCCGCAAAAGACACACCCACACAGGCTTCCATTTTGTTTACTAGAGTAATCCCAGAGGTTTAAGGAGTTTCGCTTGTGGGTGGTTTGGTTATGAAGGGTATTGCATCCCCATGAAAATGGTTGGGGAGGTTCCTGGGTTTATAACTCCCTTGAAAGCCAAACGAAGCGGCCACCGCTGGGCGTCCCGGCAGAGTCCAGAGACATCCTCTTGCCGCGCAGCCGCGCCAGGCCCCAGGCCACCATGATGAGGAAGGCCCCCATGGGGCACGCCAGCAGCTGGCCCAGGAACTTCATGGTGGGGCCTAGGTCCATGGCTAAGCGGCTAAGCCAAGCCAAGAGCTCCATCACCTATTCTGTGGGGACCCACTTTTTGTTTTCTTCAAGTCATGCGAGCCAAAAGGTCGACCACCTCTTGTGTGGTGATCGACTTGTTCTTTTCCGCAAAAGGTCCTCTGGAGAGATTTGATCAAACCAAAGCCATGTAAGATATGATCCGTGTCTTTCCAAAAGGTCCTAAGGGGCGATTTGATCAAACCAAAGCCATACCTTGCATATGTGTTCCAGGCGTCCGGTGGAGGTCCATGAAAAACAGGAATTGGCAGCCCTGTGCTTTGTCAGTTGCTTTTAAACGAAACCCCCTCAAAAGGAAGGGGTGTCACAGGGGCCCACCAACATAGGGCTTGGACTCCCTATTCTCTTCACCAATCGTTCTGTAAAGACAACACCCATTTCCCAACAGTTTGGCTCTTATTGTTGAAGAGAAGGAGCCCTGGAAAGAGGGGCAGGGTACAGCTAGAAACACGGTTCGTTTTCTTTTGCTTTTCCTTATCACGAGGGTGAAGAAATGCATGGGTGTGGTTTTTGAGGGCTCCCTTGAGGTTGGTTTGAAAGGAATCTCAGGGAAAAAGCCACCATTTTGAGGATCCCCTATTTTGACCAGACCCAATTGTGCCAGAGTCACAATGCAGGTTTCCCCTGAAGGATTTGAGAAAATACGGCTGGGCCGCTGTCCCAAACCCGACATTGAACCATAGACCACTGAACATGTCATGTTGACAAAAACCTCAAATTGGGATGGACTAATTTCACGTGGTGAGTGCATCGGCGAAACAAACGTCGAGATTGCTGTTCTTTCATCGCTAAGACAAGATGTTTTCCCACAACATGAAGTTCAGAAACGCGGGAAGTACGATGTTCATGAGTCCTAGTGAGTGGACTTGGTTGGTTTCAGGTCCGCCGACCATAAAAGGCCTATTCTCTCAACCCAACATTGTCCTTTTCGAGGAACTAAAGGCCAGGCGTTCGAAAAGCCAATGCGATCGGAATTGTTGGGTTCAAGTTGCTTGTTGCAAAGGTGGTGTGGCCCTTGCTGAGTTCACCACTTTAATCCAAGGATTCGCGTTAGAGGCGGCTTGGGCTCCCAATGCCATGGAACCTGAAGGGCTCCTTTGAAGATGAGACCATTGAGTTCACTCCATTTGGGAGTTCGGGATTCTATCTTTGAGGTTACCCTCCCACTCAATTCTAGGTTGCTCCCCGGACTCGTTGAAGGTTGTCTCTTTGGAGGCAACAAAGGGGTCGGTGTACTGCAAAACAAAAACTGACCGCCCTCTCGGAATTCATCGCCCCCCTCCAATTCCCCCTCCCCCCCCCCCACCCCACCCTTCTGACTTCTTGTTCGACCACAGTCTGTTCAACCAGTAAATCCCCCTGCTTTCGTTGGGGGAGTGACACTAAGAACCCCTTACTTCGGCCCGACCTAAGGATATCATTTTTTGAGAATCCATGTTTGCGGGAGCCTGCCCAAACATGAAAGATGTATTCGGGGCCGTTTGGTGGACATCACTTACATGGGTGGGTATGGCCTTGAATAAAAGAGCTAGGGATACGCAGGTTTCAGTCTTTGTTTTCAAATTTACCAATGTGCTATTTTGGGCACATGTTTGCTTGAAGTAGGCTCCCAGCAAACAAAACATAGAATCATAGCGACATCTGTCCATAAGACTCTTCAGCTGTCTACAAGTCGCCAAAGAAGCGGCAGGCTTGCTTCGACTGAGACACTGTCAGCGCCGTAGATGCAAGAAATACGGATCACGTCGAAATCGAAGGTCAAAAGCCTGTCGCTTCACAACTGAACCCTAGGAGAGCCATTGCAACCTGGTGAAAGTAGATGGCACAATTCCCCATTCTGGCTTCACGGGCCTTCACTTACCCACAGAAAGGGAAGTCAAGTTTGCCAGCAATGGCCGTACATGTTCTTCCCAACCAAAACATCACTTGAGCTTCTGGTCCAGTGACCTCAAAATGTGAAACATGATGGGTCATCCGTGCCCGGTAGGGGCCGCCTTTGGGGCAGACAGGGATCGTACCAATTTGGGGCAACCAATTTGGTCAGGTAAGTGGAGGTCGTTTACCCAAAGAGGGCTGACCATGGAACTCTTCGGCAGGTAACTTCTGAACTTCTCTCACGTGCCGAATGCGTTCTTCGGCTCAAGACTTAAAACCTTCGGGGCCAGAACTCTGCCAGGTCCCGAAGTCAGGGGATGAGGCTGCTGTGGAACTAGGGCTTCCAATTCTGAACCCAAACTGGATAAGACCCACCCCGAAACCTAATGGCTGGTCTCAAGAACCCGCAGAGCGTTCAACCAACCCCGGAACAAGCGGTCCATCGACCCTGCTGTTTTCGACACCTCCCGCGGATTCGAAAAAACAAGCACACCACACATGCTCGTTTCCCTTTTTTTCTGAGGGTACCCCCTTTTTGTGGTTTTTGCTTGGGAAACCCCAAGGACAACTCGAAGCCATTGCGGGGGGGGTCCCGGAAAAAAAGAAGAAGAGCAACCAACAAAAATAGACCCAAACAAAAAACAGAGACCCAACTTGCCTGGTGAGCTCGATGATCTCGCGCACGGGGTCCACCCAAGCAATTGAGAGCTGGCGGATCGAGCCCAGCGCCTCATTCATGAGGCCGAAGCAATGCGAAAAATGCCGAGAAATCCGGTGAAACCCTTTGAAAGCCAAGGAGGTTCGAAACACAAGAATGCTTCCTCATGCTTGTGTTGTTCTTTCTTTTTGTTGAAAAAAGAAGTAATATGTTGAAATTATGCCGCAAGTCGATCCACAAACCCTAGCCCCTTTTTTGCATCGGTACCAGCTGAACCCCCCCCCCCCCTGCCAAAACAAAAAGTGAACAACTGGAACAAAGAGCTTGGAACGGAACCCGCAACTTGCGAGACGGATCCGAGACTTTCTTGCGAAGCCCTGAAACTTCGATCCTCCAAACCCGAAGGGGCTCGAGAGAGCTGACCATGGCCGCCATGTGAAGAATGACTCCATTTGTTGGGCCAGACATGGCGAGCTGAGCTGATACGTTTGGGCTGACTTGCAACCAGTGTTTATTGGGTCATGGAGACTCCTGCTGCTATCCTGCTACTAGGACTCCAATCAAACAAGAACACAGGGTTGTGGGGCCACTATAAAAACCAAACTCAAAACATTGGTCATACGTAAGCTGGGCTGCTCAAAATAGAGGGCTGTCAATCCGAATACACACATACAATCCATAGTGACAAGAGAGGACTCCCTTTGTTGCGCAAGGGAAGGATTACCCAGATCAGAGCATGTAAGTTGTTGTCCTTCTCATATTAACCATCTCACCCACTGAACATTCGGGTGGTTCCACCAAATGGATTCCTGCAAAATCCGCAGTGTAGAAAAGAACAATGGACAGCATTTGACATTTGTTCAACCATCCTTTACACAAAATCCTCCCGAGCCTTGGGCGGGTCCACCTGGAACCATTGCCGGAGTGTCCACCCATCCCACCCACCGGCGCAGGCCATCGCCTGCACGGCCATGACCATCTGACTGCCCACTGCGGCGACGGTGAGGAGGTTCAAACTCTGCCTCGAGTCGGAAGAATGAGCATGGTTCTAGAGGTAGAGTTTGAACCCAACAAAAACGGTAGGTATATGTTTATTCATGCAAACTCTGATTGAGGTTCAGGAACATCAACCCAATCTGTGGAAACTTCCGAGGTGGAATGGTCCCAATGCCATTCGAGAGGTTGATGAATCAGGCTTTTGACCAAGCTGGCTTTTGGTTCCGCCCCCTATTAGGGCTTGAGCATGGCATTGGGCGGAAATGAGTGGCCAAATGAGGCCTTCACGGTTTTTGAGGGGGGTTGTTCGGGTCCCAAAAGACATGGGCAACCAAAAGGCAGCCAGTTTGGAGCTTGGTTTCATCAATCTTTATGGATGACTCCACCCGCTCCCACAAGCAAGCGGCTGTCGGCCGGGCGACGGCGTCGCATGTTGCACAAAAGGGCTGGCCTTTTGACACCATTTCCCTTGGGGCGCAAAACAGCAGGCCCGAAGAAGTGGAGAACGCGGCTCTTGTTTCAAAGGAAAGCAGTCAACAGCCAGACGCTTCCAAAGAAAACACCTGAAGAAATCACAAGGCTGCGCACTCCTAACCAATGGCAGCATCCAGAAATCTTACACCACCCTAGTCAGCCCACGGTCTCCAAATCGTGAACCCCCTCTTTCCTCATGGCTCTCAGCTAGCTGGGCAAAAGACAGGCCGAGTTGACGTCTTGGAGGGTCCAGCTTGGGAGCAGGGGGGTGTGCAACCCTGGCTCCGGTTAACTCAGGGCACATCGTGCATCGTAGCGGTTTGGGGATAGTGGAGACCATCCTAGAGTTTAGAATGGAAAACGAGGAAATGTAGGGTTCTCTCTAAATGGGGGAACCTCCAAAATGCGTGGTTTCCTTTTGCTTTCCCTGACGAATCCCAAAAAGGGTTGCCCTCAAACAAATTCGGCACCCATGTAGGGGTCCGTGATGCCACCAGAAGCTTAAGCCGAAAATGGGCTTGTCTAAGAGGACAACCCAAGCATGGGTTTCCCTTTGGCATTCCTCAAACGACGACACACCCAAATAAGAGTTAATGAGGAACGTGATAGGCAAATGAGGGTAATGAGTGTACATACGCGAAGAATGATGACTGGGGTTAATTGATCTTAAAGGCCTGCAGGAGAATTCTGTGAACATTAAAATTTAAACAACTAAAAAGGGGGTAGATGAGCCAGATAAGCCCGAACTAAGGTATATTTGTGTCACATTTATGCTGAGGGGTTTAGGTAAACCTGTGGGCAAACCTTCCTGCACGTAGTCGGCCCTGCACGTGCTTGTAGAGACGATTCGTACTCGGAGTAATCTATTCGCAGACCCGCAAGCAAGGCAAGGTGCTGGTTGAGATCTGCATTCACAGAGGAGAGCAAGACGATGATTACCTTATGTCGAGCGGGGTGATGGCTGCTGGATTGGGAAGCAGGAAGATAAATCCAAAAGTGGGTATTGGGGGTTCCTGATTTAGTGAAACTGCCGTTTGGACTTTCTCGGGACATGTCCGCTGACGTGGTTGCTGGGATGTCCAGCAAAGGGTCCACACTCCACACTTAGGTTCTCTACTAGGGGGAACACACGCAAAAACCATTGCAACAAGATGTGCTGCCCTTCGTCTTAGTTGATCCAAACCAAACAAATTGGGGATACTGCAAGGGTTGGATGGGTGGATTTAGCTTCAGGCGGTCATTAGGCGCCAAAGCCTCGCTATCTGACTCTTGGTGTGTGGCAAACATCTCATCCATTTCCTGCTGATTTGTTCATTCCTGAAAGCCAGCCAGTTATCTTGGTCAATATGCAAACCTAAACCCACTGTCAATAACATGGTCAGCTGTGCACTTCCTCGGTATCACTGAATCAATATCACTGCCTCAGCATCACTGTCAATAAGAGAGTCAGCCGCACAGCGACAAGCGGAGTGCACTTCAATATCAGTGTCTGAGTATCACTGTCACTAAGTCAGTCCACTTGTACATGTCCCACATATCATTGCCACTGTTGTTACGTGTTCACTTACATGTCGGGGTTGCAAAACTTTGCGGCGTGAAAGCCCTTTCACTTCCACAAAACACAGGCAGCAGTGAACTAATCAACTTTTTTGGAGTCGAAACCACTGATTGGGACCCACAGAGCGTGACAGGAATCATCCTAGCGAATCCTGACGCCACCAAATTCGCACAGCAGCTGGCAACCCTCGGAAGTACACCACCAGACAGGCAGCAGCAGCTTTCACAGGCGGCATCACAAGGCAGTCCAGAGTGCTCCGGAGCAAGCACACAGCCAGAAATCGGTACCCAGCACGCAGAATCTGCCTAGGTTGCATCCAGCCTTTATATTTGGGCTTGAAAGGCGCCACCCTGTTTGCATGGGGTGTGCTTTTCAAGGGCACCCCTTTTTGGTTTGGATTAAAGGCAAACCAAAAGGACAACCACGTTTTCAAGGTCCCCTAGTTTGACACAAACCCATATGGCCATGGGTCAAAAGCCCGTACTTCCAGTGAACATCCCAATCCTCACTAAAATAGGTTCTAAAATGGGTGGTGCACCTGCCCCAAAATGGGATCCCATTGGCTTTGACCCACAACCATGTCCCGTGAATACAGTGCGAAGGGTGGAGGCCCAGCATTCCGTCACACACCCCGAGTTGCCAAGTCCGATCAGCAGAAAAGGGACCCCAAAAGTGGGGAGGGGGTACCATTTTTCCGTGAACCCACCAAACAGAATTTCAAGGGTGAACTGGGAGTTCGTGGGGGGGATGCTTGAAAGACCTGTAGTACACAACGGGATGAAGGGCCCGGATTCTAAACAACTGAAAGAATGCTTGAATAAGCCTAGAAAACAAACAGGGACCTGGGTATGTGTCAAAATAGCACCCAACCCTCAGTAAACCACTTGTGAACACCCAACACCGGTGGAATCCAGTGAACGGCCAGGTGGCGATGGTGGCTGCGATCATTGAGAAGATGGCCGGCAAAGCATCCCCGGCCGCGCACTGGGCGCCTGAGAGAGGCGATGGAGTCTGTTTTGCATCTCCACAAGTAGCAATTCAGTTTAAACCACAAGAAAATTACGACTTATGAAGGGGAATCCAGTGACCCCTGCCAAAGAACATGGATGGGCCTGGTTTTCTGGGAAATGTGTGGGGGCCAAACCAAAAACCTGCAAACCAAGTTTGTTGGGGCAGAGTCCTGAACTGCCATAGGCTTCGGACAGAGCCGTTGCGCACGTGGCAAATTCGGTTCCGTGGCCAAAACATAAACGGGTGTTGCAAGAGTTGAGGCCCCCCCCCAAACAAAAAATGGGCTCCCTTTTGGCTTACCTTTAAAACCACCAAAAAAATAAGCTCAGGCGATACCCCCAACAGCACCACACCCTCCCAGAATCCTCGCGGAACGCCCCGGAATTCACCTCACCGCCGGTGTTGCTGAGGATGCCGCCTTGTAACTTTTTAAAGCAAAGCTAAGAGTGACAGCGCAATCGCGCCCTGATCGGGCCCGACGGCGCAATCGGGGCCCGATCGGGGCCCGACGGTGCAATCGGGGCCCGATCGGGGCCCGATGGTCCCGTGGTGCGGCCCCAGCATATTATAGCTCAACGCCGGTTGTCCTTAGGATGCGGTCTTATAATTGTATTTAGCAAAATTAGGCGATGCAAGCTTGGTGCAGTTGACGGGGCCCGACTGCGCAATCGGGGCCGATCGGGCCCCGACGGTGCAATCGGGCCTGACGGTGCAATCGGGCCCCAACCTGGGCCCGGTGAACCTCGCAAACCGTCCTCGTGGAACCCTCATAAAACTCAGCGTGAAACTTTGTTGGAACCTTTCCTCAGGGCTGCCCCATAGCTTTTGCAGAACCTGGTGGAGCGTTTTTCGAACCTTACCCCACAGCCCTCGCAGCCGTGGAATTCTTGGAACCCAAAGCCCACCAAGCAATATACTCAGCAATGAGTCCCGCAGCAACGTGATCTGACTTGCCACAAAGCCAACATTTCGAACCGCGTTGCCTGAACAAGTGAGCAAGTGACAAAACAGTGAGAGTTTGCTGAAAACCATTGATTTCGGTTTTGCTTATTGTTCCGCCCATGAGCAAAGCGATCTTCTGAGCCCTCAATTTACTCAATTTACTGCTCCGATGGCTTTTCAGACGGCGGGCGCACGACACACTGCTTCCTTCCAGGGCAAACCACGGAACCTTGCAGAACATTTCTGGAACCCTCGTGGAACCTTGTGGAGTGTGGAACCTTTGTGGAATCCTTGCGGACCTCAGGGCCGCCCCGGACCGTCCCACAGCCTAGCAGAACCTCGTGGAACCCTGAAACCCTCATGGAACCTTACCTCAAACCGCCCCGGACCACCCCGCAGCCCTCGCAGAACCTCGTGGAACCCTGCTAGAACCCTGGTGGTGGAACCTTCATGGAACCTTACCTTGCAGAACCTGGTGGAACCCTGGTGGAACCTCCTCGTGGAACCTAACCTCAACCACGGACCACCCCGCAGTCCTCGCAGAACCTGGTGGAACCCTTGTGGAACCTTACCTCAAACCACCCCAGACCACGCCGCAGCCCTCGCAGAACCTGGAACCCTGGTGGAACCCTGGTGGAACCCTGGTGGAACCTTGGTGGAACCCGTGGAACCCTCGTGGAACCTTACCTCAAACCACCCCGGACCACCCCGCAGCCCTCGCAGATGGTGGAACCCTGGTGGAACCCTGGTGGAACCCTCGTCAAACCTTACCTCAGGGCCGCCCCGGACCACCCCAAAGCTTTCAGCTGTTGGGGAACTAGAGCCCTCAGCAGTTTGCAGCCCAAATCCAAAAAAAGGCGGTTTCCTGTTGGCGGCCCTTTGAAACAACCGCCATTCTCCAGCATAGTGCCAAATGAGAAGTGCCTGGTGCAAAAGAAACGACTTGGCAGCTGTGCGAAAACAGTGGTTGTACTTGCAAACCTTCAAGAAAGACGTGTGCATTGGAGATTTACGTGATTATCCAAGTATACCCCGCAGTAATCTGAGCATCAACATGGAAACGTCGCATTTACGATGGGCAGAGCCCGTCAGTCCGGAAACGTTATCCTCAGCTCTGTTGGTTGCCTCGTCATTCCCTGAACCCAGCCTGAACGCACCCTGCAACCGAAACCCACCCAACATCCATCCTAGACCCTCTAAACCCTCCCGCCGAGCGCGCGAACTTGCAACTCAGCCGCAGGTGCCATCCTCCAGCGGGAAGTACTGCACGATGCAGTTGTTGCACGCCAAGCCTCCCGAGCAACGGCGTCATCAAGGGCATGACCGGGCGGTTCCGCACGCACTGCAAGTGGGGTGAGTGAGCTTCGGTTTCCCTTTGAACTCCCTTGTAAGCCACTCAGGGTACCAACTCCAGGGCAAAGCGCAACACCTTTCGGTCGGACTCCTTTGAGGCAACGGCGGACAAAGGCTGAAGTAGCTTCCGGCAGGGGAATAGGTAACCGTAGATGAAGGTTTCTTTTCTTTGGGCCCAGTTGACCAATACACCCTGAACAAGGCGAATTCATTGCAACCGAGCCCTTCCCATATTAGGTCCTGACTTGAACAGCTTCGGTACATGGCACCATGTGTTGCTAATTCAACACTTCCTGTGATAAGTAGGCACTTAATTCCCATGGCTACTTTATCACTTCAAAGGGGTTCCCTTGGTATCACAGAAATTGCTCCTAAAACCAAGTGCTCCACCGTGCTTTCCACTCAAGGTGCTGGGCGGAGCGTCGCTCCCTTGGGGCTAGGGTGGCTGACTCGAATGGTGCGGACTGCTAGGTTTGATGTAGGCCTTCAACGCATCAGCCAAGCCCTCAGCCATTTGCACCTCTGGGGTTGTCCTGGGCCATTAGAAGGACTTGCCGTTCAGAGCCAAGGCGAAACTTAGAAAGCTGAAGCTTCGAGGAGGTGTGGATCTTGCTCAGAGCGTGCAGCCTGCGCTGGCATTCAGTGTGCCAGTCCCTCAGACAGGCTTGATCGGCTCGATCGCTCCCCGCGGTTTGTTAGCTCGCTAAAACCTGCAAGCGAGTTTCGGCAGGAGGAGATGCACTTCGCTGACCTGGAGTTCCCAGCCATACCTTGTAGAGGTTTGAACTTTTGTTGTAGAGGGATTCTTGTCATTTCAATATAGGGTGACCCCCAAAAGGGCAGTTTTTCGTGTGATTTCCCTTAGGAACCTTAGAAAGGGAACACTCAAAAAACACACACCCAGGTAGCAGTATTCCATTGGACCATAGCCGCTTCCCCCTCGGAACGGGTGGTTTCCCTTTCGTTACCCTTTATACAAACCAACGCACACCCACACCCGTTTGCTGCTGCCACCAATTTTGTGAAAAATGCAAATGCAAAATTGCAACTTTGACTTGCTGTTTCCTGCAGGCCTGTTGGTGTCCCAACCCAGAACCCCCTTCCCCCATCCACCAGAAGCACTCCAAACAAACAAAAGCAGACAGCAAAAACTCCCTACTCCCCCCTCCCCAATCCCAAACCATGCCCAACCGAAACCTCCCCAAACCGTTCCCCCAATCCAGCCCGGGTTCATTGATTTGGCATCCTCAAGCTGACCCTCTAAATGGTCCCTCGACATGCTCACCCACAGGGGACCCAATCGCGGAGACCTGGAAAGCTCGCTTGAGCTCTGATGCCACCTCTTTAAGGGTCAGTCCGAGTGGCACAAACATGTCTTTGAACAAAGACTTCCCGTCCGGCTCCGTGTGGCTTCCTCGAGACCCAACCAGTGAGCCCAGCTCCGGTATAGACACTTCGGGTCGGAAAGCATTCAACCCCCTTCCATAGGGAATCGGTTTTCTTCCAGAAGCCAGGCCTCCCCCCGGAGGCCTGCCTTGTCGGCCCGGGGAGCACTCGCCCAGCGCGAGGCCGGGGCACTCCTGGGTGTCCCGGCACCGGAGCACGGAGTAGCTGCACCTGAAGCACTCGCTGAGACGACACAAAGCTCAAGACACGCCTTGACGTCACCTGACATGGCAAAATGGGTCAAAACCCAAATCGTACCCCGGTGAACATCCCAATCCCAACCAAAATAGACTAAACTGAGTGGTGCACCTATCCCAAAATAGTACCATTGGTTTTGACCCACAGCCACATAGCAAAATGGGAATCAGGGACAGCGACTCAACCCCTTGTCACACGTTTGCTCCTCAAAACCAAGAAGAACCAGTCGGTGGGCCCAGGGCCCAGGGTCGAAGCGGTTGTTAAAGCCCTCTTTGCCCAACCCCCCCTCCCCCGACCGCTGTCAGGTGTTTTTTTTTCTCAAAGAGGGTCCTCCCTGTCCGCACACCCTGGTCAATGGATCCTCGATGTTCTAGTCTTACTCCCTACATGAAAAGCACATGGCGGCGCTCGGCGACCTCCTTTCGGCTGGTCTCTATCAGTCCTATACACATCATATCTCCCAACTCCTACCTTTTACCCCATGTTTGGGGGGTCCAACCACACCTAGGTCCTCCAGTAGAGAGTTAGAACAAGGGTACCCTTTGTTTCTGTAGTCTATTTTAGTAGAAGAAAACCCTCCCAACCAAAAAAGAAACGTTAAAATGGGCCTTCCTGGGGGTCCAACCACACCTCCGGGCAGCAAAGGGGGGCCCCCCCTTTCTGGCACCGGGTCCCAGTCCGCCCAGCCGGCCGGGCGGCGTCTCGCCGCTACTCTCGGCCCAGAAGCCCGGAAGCATCACCGGAGGTCCCAGGCCTGCCGAAAGCCGAGGAGGAATTTACTGCTTCCCCCCCCCCCCGGCCGAAACCCACACTCCGCTTTTTGAGGGAAAGAAAAAGGAGCAAAAGGAAAACAGCTTGCATATGTTGGGGTGCTCAGTTTTGCGAAAGGACACAGAGTCTTCTACAAATTTGTGAGGTCGCCACAGTTTGAGAGAACGCCAACATGGTTTGGCGCACAGCGAAACCGACGCATGTACATCGCGCCGTGCTTCCGCTTTGCTCAATGGACCTATCAAAAGATCTATATTGAACAAGAACAACACTGCAAGGGTTAGAAGATGTGCTTGTCTATAATATACAGGTGTATTGCTTAGAAGACACCAACCCAAAATCAGAGATGGGACCGCCCAAAAAAAGACTTCTTCATCATTGGTCAACTGGGTCGCAAACCAAAACCTGTTGTGAGGTCGCGATTTCATTTGCCCAGATCTCCGGTGGCCATGGCAAAGAAGGCGGCCCGTTTCGATTGTTGATTTTGAAGACCAAAACCCCCTCCGACAAAAGGAAAAAAAAACAAGCCCCCTGGAGAGGTCAAATGAAATTCACTCCGAACCATGTGGGGGTGGAGCTGTGTCCACCCCCAAGAAAGATGGTCAATCCGCATAATGGAACAACCCCCACCCATCTGCCAGTTTTACATTCTACATACCTGAAATCAGAGTTGGATTCCCAAGTAAAGGCGCTGCATAGCTCGTTTTGGAATCGCTCGAAGCCCCTATCGGCAGAATGGCCCTCAATCTACAAGAGGGCTTGGCGACGGCCCGGGAGCTACTAAATATCATTTCCGCAGTCAAAAAGACGCCTGGTGACCTCGTTTTCCCCCCGAGTCGGTCAGCTCGAAGCCCACAAGATCGGCAGAAAACGCCTGCTGCGCAGGAGAGGCCGTCGGGGCAGGGCTGGCACCCGGTGACGTTGCACATGAAGGTGCCTGCACATCCGTCTCGGTCTCTCAAAGCTTTCTATCGTCAGCTCAACTAGGTTTCCAACCTCTAAACGTCACTCCAAAGGCAAATCAAGATAGTGAAAGAGACACGGCCCATATGTGAATCATCACCTTCAACCTGGCCCGGAAGGTGATGTTTGAAACCGTCCACAAGCCCATCTCTGTCAGTTCTGGAAAAGGAACCTCAATCCCTCCTCTGCACAACGGAGGGAACCCAAAAAGGCATCTATCGCTCCGTTTGCGGGCTGGACCCCTGAAAAAGGCAGGGCCGAAAGTGCTTGGAACGCCTGGGGCTAATCACCCCATCCATAGATCAATTGCCTCCCAAATGCGTGGCTTCGGGTACGCGGTACCCCCACACCCCTGCATTGCTCAGGTGCGTGGGGATGATAACATCCAACCGCTCGGCCTCGATGAACAAGTCTGTCACCTCAATGCCCTTTGAAACACAAAAAGGGTTCTACCAAATGAACATCGAACCAAACGATAAACAAATGGCGGAACCCATCTGCGCCGTGAAGCCAGAAAGGACGCCTCTTTAGTCTTTCGACTTCCGTCTAGACGCCCAGGTCCAAATTGATAGCCCCGGGTCCCAAGCCTAAACCGAAGCGGAAGCATCCGAGCCTTGCGCGCATTGGCAGTCGCTGGCGGCGAAGGAGCCGCTCTCTTCGGTGACCATGCCCATGCCGCACCTCGACGTGGGACCCCACATGGTGGGCTTTCCTTGTTGGTTTCCAGCCTGCACCGGGAACCCTCAGAAAACACTAAGCTAGTTGACAGGTTTGTTTTGGTTAGGTGATGATCAAAAGGCAAATATAAGAACCCAGAGTTTGGGGAGGAGGGTCATAGCAATCAGGGATCGACGGCAGGCCACTTATGGGAACCCAGTTGATTAATCATACTCCTGCTTGATTTTGACCGGGGTGTCCCATTTCAGGGGGGATCCACTAAACGAATAAAACCCCCCCTGCTCCAGGTCGATGTGAATCGATTCGTTGGGCCATACAAGTGAAGGCCTCATTTGTAGGGACCTCAAAGTCACCATGACACTGGGCAAGACTGCAGCTGATCCGGCCAGACTCACAGCCCGCAAATCAGATCGATGGAGCAGGAATTGATCACATCTTTCCCAGGAAACAGGCGTGTGTCAATTTGTTTGAGCTACCCTTTTTCGAAACACTTATATATTTTTTAAATCAGGATCCGATCCATGACCTACAGGGGTTTCTCAACATGGATTTTGCCTCAACCCCCTTTTTGTAAAAGGGAAACCAACAGAAACCGTTTCCATTTTATGACATGGACCCCTATTTTGAGACCCAAAACAGGGATCAAGTTTCATGGCAAACCCGGGGTAAAATACGAGTTCAGGTACGCGAATAAGCGAATGAGCCAAAGCTGGGGCTAGAAAGCACCTATAGTACATAGCCGGCAATTTTCCTTGTCTTGCTGGTCACTGAGTACTTTAAGGATTGTATATATATATATATATGTAACTCAAGGGTTGTGGGTACCTTAAAAATGAAATTTACTCAGGATAGGAGCAAAATCCTTGTACTTATCAGCCCCCCCTTCTCCGCACGGAAACTCGAAGCCACCTCACCGCACGTGCTGACAAATGGCGCTATTTAGCCGCCCGAAAAATAGAAAAGGACAATGACGAAATGTCACCTGTACTGGCTTTGGGATCCACTGGGTATAGGTGTCTTGTTGTCGGAAGGCGTGATTTAGGTGTGTTCAATTAGGGGATCTTGTGGACATCCTTTGCATGACTCCGAGAAAGTCATCGCCTTTTGGTCAGCAAACCCAGTCCAACATCAACAGTAAGCAGAAAATTGCGCTTAAAAGACTCACCTGCCCAAAGCACTTCAAAAACAACATATTAGCTTGATGCCTTGACAAAAAAGTGAAAGGGAAGCCCCAAAGGTCAAACATGGTTTGCGGTCGACCCCGGAAAAAAAAGTCAGCCTCACGGCCTCGCAGCCCCAGCCCAAGGCGCGCGATGCACTGCACCGCAGCGGTGGTTTCCATGTAGGTGCCCTTGGGGCACTTCTTGCACGCCTGCGAAAGGAGTAAAAATCCCAACGTTCCGCATGGGTGAAAAATCGGTAGTTGAAAGAAACATTTCAGGAACCCCATGTCTGGATACTCAACATGCACTTCTCTGGAAAGCCCATGGGAAACTCAACCCACAAACATTCACATGTGGCTAAATGGGTGAAACATAGGGTAACCCCACAATGGAACTCTGGTAAGTGGAAACATGGACTAGAATTCCTGCGGTCTGGTTGTTTCCCGGCCCCGTCAAGGGCTTGTTGGCATACGGCTGTGAACTTCGATGGACCCTTGGTGGACACCATCTCCAGCGACGTCAAATAGGAAGAAAGCCAAAGGGGGTGTTCCCAAACGGGAAGAGGCTGACCGAATTCCAGTACGGTAAACCAAAGGCCCCCCCAAGCACCAAGGAAAGGCTTCTTAGACATTTTGAAGAGGTTCCAACTGGGTTCTGAGAGCCTTTCCCAATGGTACTCCCCATGAAAGAACATTCGAAACACAAGGGCGGCAAGGGAGCGACATATTCCTCAGCTGCACAAAGCACCGAAAAAAAACTAACCTTTTGGGACCGTGACATAAATGGACCAAAAAGGAAACCCAGAAACACCCAGGTTGGCAAACATGACTGATCAACGGGAGGGCAGATTGAGCAAATGAAAGTCAATCCACCAAGGCTTTTCTATCCAGTGTTCCATTCACTCTCAGAGTTCCCTTGAGCTGATCATGCTCAGCCCTCTGTGCGCAACTTGCGTTCCGTTGTTTCATCCTCACCACCCGTGAATTGCAACAATGGAACTTGGGAGATCTTGTGACTTCATTGGATCGCCCCGCGGCCGATCAAAAGCGGATCGCTCACCCAGACTTTGGCCTCTCTGCAAATGTCTTCCACATTTCTTGACAGGTCAATTGTGATAAGTGCCATGGTCAAAAGGCCTGGCTTGGCTGGCGGACCCTTTAATAGAGGATTCCTGGTATGTCCTGCCCAAGATGGGTCGAGTCCCGCCAGCATGAAATGGCATAAACCGCTTGCTCAACGGGAAAGAATTCGTCTTCCAAGTAGGGGCTTGCACCAGACCAGGCAAGTTTGGCCAGTCTTCCTTCAGCCTCCCCTCGCTTGCTTGCTGGTTCTTAAAGCAAATGTGGGAACTGACCCCCTCCCAACGAATAATAATAAAATTCAATCCCTGGTATAGGGTTAGTCCCCCGTATCCCCTGCCAGGGTGGCCCCTTTGCCTTCTCATTTTTGGGAGAACGCTGGCTCCAAGAAAAACCTACACATGATACCGCTTGTTCCTGCACTTTTCAAGCTTGCCCATACAACTTTTCCAGGATTCGGTAGCCCAAGAGCGAACACCGTTCCCAAAGAACCACCAAGGGCCAGATAAGAATCCGGAAAATTCGCTCTTTTTGGAGGCTCTAAATACCCACTTGTTGAAAGATTACCCACCCCCTTGAGCCTTCTGAACGTCGAACGTGGCTATTGCAAAAGCTCCTGCCTCCAGGCCCAGAACGTCCGCATAGAAGCCAGGCAGGCAATCAGCACACTCCGCGGAGCCCACCTATGCGCAACTCTCCCGATAAAGTTTTCCTCAGCCAACCAAGGGGTAAGCCCATTTTTCAGGGGGCCGAATCGAATGGGAGCTCCGAGCTGATGATCCCTCAAGGACTCGGAGCAGCCCTTTTATGTCATCTTGGATTTGAGGCGAATAACCATGAAAGTGACGAACATCCCCCTTCTATTCAGGGATATGTGTTTCAGAACAACCCCCCGCGGTGGAGGTGTTTTTTTGTACTAACCCTGGTTTTTTCCTAACCCTGGCTGTGATTGGTGGGTTGGTTGGTTGGTTGTTTGGCTGGCTGGCCGCATCCCCGGCATCACCAACATCACTTGGACCTGGGGTTGCCTAAGCTCTGATGGGAGTTGCTGGGGGCTGGTTTAGACTTAGATCTTCATGAGGGTGGGTTTGGGGTGGTTTGGGGTTGATTTAGGCTAGGCGAAGGGCTGACATCCAGGCTGCTGTTGGGCGGGTTTAGGGTTGACTTTGAGTGGTTCGGGGTGGCTTGGAGCTGATTTGTGTTAGGTGTGCTGCTGGTTTAGCAGCGGCTTTAGAGTTGCTTTAGGGAAAGCTAGACCAAAGCCCTATTAACCACACCCTAAAGCAACTCTAAAGCCCCTGCTGAACCAGCAGCACACCTAACACAAATCAGCTCCAAGCCACCCCGAACCCACTCAAAGTCAACCCTAAACCCGCCCAACAGCAGCCTGGATGTCAGCCCTTCGCCTAGCCTAAATCAACCCCAAACCACCCCAAACCCACCCTCATGAAGATCGCCAGCCAACACCCCCTAAACCCAATCGGAGCCTGGGCAACCCCAGGTCCAAGTGATGTTGGTGATGCCGGGGATGCGGCCAGCCAGCCAGCCAGCCAGCCAACCAGCCAGCCAACCAACCAACCAACCAACCAACCAACCAACCAGGGCTAGGAAAAAAAAAAAAAACACCATCTCCCCCCCCCTCCCCCCAGAAACACAACTGGGAAAACGGCCGGTTACAGAAAAGAACATGTTTGGAAAGAATGGACTTGGAATCAACGCCATAGACACGCAGCTGAATGAGGCAATGCCGACTGAAATTCCCAACCAACCCGTTGCAACTGACTCATCGCCGCTCGAAGGTCTTACGGGCCCTCCTACGTGAGCAATAGGACTGCAGGCTCCTTTTCTTCATGTGGCCCCTTGCCCTATTTGAGGCCATTCTTTGAAAGAATCCTCTGTTCAGGGCATCACCATCAGTCGAAATCCAGGTCGATGTCTGCGCTTTCCTAGAAGTGAGTCGTAGGCAAAACAGAGTCTCAAAGGCGTGCCCCCCATGGAAATGGGACGGTGCGATCTCGGCTTCGTCCGCGCCTCTGCAGCATAGCTGCCAAAGTTGCAGGGCAGGCAGTTAATCCTGGGCAGCCAAAAAAGGGTGGCTTTTCCCCCAACCGAAAAATCAGGGATGTGGGACCCTATTTTAGAGGCTTCAGTTTCCCTTACAAGGGTACCAACTCAAAGGAGGCACCCAACTGGTTCTCTGCAGGAGAAAAGGCATTACTTTCGGGTTGGCCTCGTGTGCGGTACTGACTCAGCTCAAAACTTCATATTCTGGGTCCGGGACCCAACAACTGTCTCCGCGACCAAAGTCCTCCAAGGAAATTGCGGAAGTGGATTGGCCCAAAAGAGCCAAACTGGCGTTTGCCACTAAAATGGTCTGCCTGAAAGTAGCGGTGTTGCGGGTTCGACCCCCGTTTGAGAGAACCCCATTCCCAGCGACCCTCGAGCTTGGTTCAGGACCCCCTTTGATGACAAGACGTAGGGAAGCAGCAAGGCCCCCCACAACCCAGGAAAGGTTCCGGGGACCTTCGAAGGGTTGCACGGCAGAGAGCGGGCACTTGGGGGTTAGCCCGGCAGAGTCGGACCTGGCGCTCGAGAAGGCGCACGCCTGGAGGGCATCCTTCGAGCCCCTGGGTCTGGATCGGTGCTCTCGGCTGGACATGGCGAGGAGAACCCGCTCTTTGGCTCAGCCACACACTGGCGGAAAGCCCCCAAGTGTCAGGCCTGGTGGAGTGGCGATACATCCTGGCAGATGGGGTTGCACTACACCCATGCCTGAGGGAGTTGGCAGCGTTGGAGGTGCCGGATGCCTCATTCGGCCAGAAGCACTCGTCTGGAGCCGTGACATAGTGCCTTGCGGCTTCCTACAAAAAGGTTCCGCTTGGGATAGGCCAAGAGGAGGTCAAGGTCGGAGCGTGAAAGGTCCTGAAGCCGCTCCTGTCGATGATGGGTGCTCCCTTTCTTGCCTAAGGCGAACATGGAGAGACGCACCAAGTGGGGTGGGTGGAGCACTGGTGCCTTGCGGGGTGGTCGCTCCCCCGAAGGTGAAGGAAATGGAGGGTGAGGATGAAGAAGGCCCGATGCGGGTGATGACTCAGGCCAGGAGATGGCTTCCACGGAGGTGGCTGGACTGCGGGCGAAATCGCTCTGAAGGAGTCGGAGAAGCCAGAAGCATCTTGGAAGAAGCGCGCTTGATGCGGAGAAGCTGTTGAAGGAAAAAAATACAGCCACAAAGAAAGACCTGGAAGGGGACTTTCTGAGCATGGACTGGTCAAGAGGACGTGCCTCTATGAGCCTTGTGGCCTGAACCCGGTTCCTATGGAGTTGGATCTCCGCACGTTTGGGGTGCTGGGAGGAGACTCCTTCGAGGACGAGAGAGCAGTTGGAGAATTTCGTCAAAGGCGACTCTCCATGCGGACCATGAGATGGGGCAAACGCTCCTCAAGAAGCGGGGAGGAAGTGCGAAGGTACAGCTGGTGCAGCAACCCTCGGGTTCACAGGGGGGGCATGTGTCTGTCTGTCAAGTCCCAGTTCCAGTGCAGTTTGTCAAAACAGGGGCCGTTTCCAGGGTGGGGGCACCCCCATGGCCCGCCTGTTGAATGACTGGCTGCAAACATCTCAAAAGTCTTGCCAAAGGCAAGGGTTCTACACATTGGCAGGTTTTGGAGCTGTTGTACTGCGGATCCTGGGTGAATCTTTCTTGGGTCGACAGGGGATGTCGATCCGTCTCCACCACTTTTACCGTGTGCTCCAACAAACATTCCGCGCCTTCCTTGGGACTGGCACGCCAAGCAGCATGCCAGTGACATTGGCAAAGTATCCACGTGCGCATTGCTGGTAGGGCTGCGAGCCGCCAGCGCACGCAAAGCCTGCGCATATCAAACCGGTTTGAAACCGTCCCTCGTCACGTCCCTCGTCAGCAAGGAGCCAACATGCTTAAAGCAAACGACGCGCTCGAAAAATCCGTACCGCTTATCACACTGGTGCCAGCTGCCAGTGGCACCGCATCTGAAGTCACAATCACAATCACACGGAACGCGTCTTAAGGACCATTGGACCCAGGATTCGACTCGTGGGTCCAGCGAGTCCGGAGTCGAGGCCTCTGGGGCAGGGATTGCACTGGCCAGTGGTCTCATCCTGGAGATCCGCCCGGGGCTTCGAAGCCACCCCCAAGCCGTGGGAAGTTTGGGCTGGGGGCCAAATTTCCGCTGCGCCCGGCTTCAAAAGTGAGCAAAATCCAGTGTGAATAGGAAGAACCCCCAAACCTGGAGGGTCCCACTCCATAGAAAGGTGGAATACAAAGGGACACTGTCGGCCATTGATCAGAGTTCCTGGGGTGGATGACGATCCTTCTCAACCCCCAAGCCAGGGATGAGTTTCACTTAGCCTTCCGCAAGGGAAAATGGGGCCATCAACGGAATTCTCGGAGGCAATTCTCCCCCTCACCTGTCGAAAGTTCACCCCCGATGCGCCAAGTGAAGCAGTCCAGAATCAGTGCCCTCAGCAAATCGTTTGAAGATGGAAACATAGAGGTCCACAGGACATGCCGAAATGGCCAATGCTACTCTTTGTGGGAGTGGTTTGAGAGATACCATGTGTATTTCACGTACTAGTAGCCCGAAGACCCTTTGCGATGAATAAGCCTTGTCTTAGAGAAGTAGGATGAATTGGGGTGAGTAATTCCAAATGAGGCCGACTAAGGCCAACCAGGGCTTTTCTAGCATCTATTGGTTGCCGGTCCCTGATATTCCTCCCAAGCAAAGCTTCCCTGACACCCTGGAACCCCTCGCGGACAGAGGGGTTGGGTTACTTCCTGTAGAATCTTGCCGGTGTGCAGTGATCTGCAGACATGTTCCAACTGACACGTTCCCTCTGGTTGCACGGGCCTCTCAGCCTCTCTTGTAGCTTGTTCAGTAGGATTCAGTGAAGAGTTGGTGCACCGCTCGTCTTTGCATCTTGGTCCTTGAAGAATCCCGGGTCGCAATCGGTCAGCGAAGGAGGCGGCAGTGGCCAAATGTTGCCATCCATCCAGTAGAGGCCGCCACCTGCAGTGAGAATTTGTGAGTTGGGTGACTCGTATGGATTCTAACAAATGGGGTTCCTTTTGGACGGTACATGATTGTCCTTCGGTGGGAACTCGAACCCATTTTCTGAGTGACGTTGCCGGGTTGCAGCTTTTGCCGGGGTCAAGTGACGTCAAACTTACCCAAATGGCATTGGGAACCCACCAGACCCCAAGTCGCTTCGAGAAAATCCGCTCGCTTTAAGGGACCCAGCTTTGAGCTTGGACCCCAAACGGGTCCAAAGGGAAACTTTGCCAACTGGCAACCATTTGCAACAACCCGTTGTGCGAAAAAATGGCCGTACAGCAGCGTTCCGATCCGTCCCCCAAAAGCAGCCCGGGCAGGAATTCGTGTCTTCGGGGGTTCAACACTTTTCGGGGGGGGCCCTCTGATTTCTGCAACGAGAATATCCAAAACCTCGGGGGATGCCGTCAAGCATGAACCGTGCTACACGCCTCGGGCCCTTCACATGGGGCCTGCCAAAGCGTACCATGGGATACCCACAAGACCAAGGGCTGCCAAGAAGGCAGGTTTGGCTTGGCAGATGGCTACTGGATTCACACTCACTCCCGAGGTCAGGGATCATCATGGGGAAAAAAACGGAACGATTTTGAGCGGGCGGTGGGTTTGGGAAACTTAGTGGATGGTGTGATTTCCATATGCACACGCGCGGCAAAATGCCTAGCATGGGTCCTTTGACATGGCAAGTGTTCAACATCCCATCCCTAGAGACCCCTGCACACATTCCTGAATCGAGTCACACGCTCTTTCTCAAGTGGCCCTTCCAAAAGGGTTCCTGTATTTCTGACGTCCAGGGTCCCATCCACTCAAAAATCGTACCCGGACGTATGATGGCCGTGGGTCCCTGAAGAGGAACCCTTGCTGCGGTTGTCTAAATCCCCTCTTTGATGGGTCCGTGACCATTCCAACCGCAACTTCCTTTGAATATATGGCATTTATCCTGAGTGGAGCCAAAAAAGGTCATCCAAATGGGAACTTCTCAAAATGTTGATCGGTATTTCCGGGCCGGGGAAACCAAAAGGAAACAAACCATGTTTGGGATCTCTTGACACATACTCAAAAAGGCGTCTTGTTTGTAGGAACTCTTGGGTTTGTCGTTCAAGGGAAACCACATGCAACAACCGCCCTCTATTTTTGCGGGGCTTCGCCCATTGAAACACCCCCTCGTCTTTCGCCCCCAAAAACCGGCGGTTTTAGGGCCCCGGGCTTCCGATGGTGAGCATCCCGGTGCTGGCGCTGAACTCCCCCGCCACCACCAGCTGCGTGGCAGTGGCACCCTGAGAAATGGGCTTTCGCGGGCAGAATGGTCCCGAAGTCTTCCACTTGCTCAAGTTCCAAGGGATCATATGTCCAGTTCTGGATGCCCTTGACCCGGGGAAATAAACCGTATCTCTGAAGCAAACGGGAAAAATCGGCTCCCCAGGACTTCTGGGGATAGGATTAAAATGTCCTCAAACTGAGAGCTCCCAAAGGCCCACGAGGAATTTGGATAGCTCCGGAACGGCTCGACCGCCAGCTAGTTGCACTACGGAAGAGGACAGCACTGTGTTCTGTTGGGTAAGAAACGGCCATGACTAAACTAAAGCCAAAAGTGGAGGTCCCGCGCCATCTACCTTCACCCAACTTCTGCCCGTGTGTTTTTTGGACTTGATATGGGTCAAAACAGCCGAACCCCGGAATGTTGGATTTCAATCGTTCTCCCTTTAAACAAAGGTGAAAAGGGTCCCTTGGGAAACCGCTCAAGAGAAGTGGACACAAAATGCGGCTGCGGGGAACATTTTTTTCGGGCATACAATGTGGTCTTTTGTTAACCCTGAGAATCCATGTAGGCAAATATGGCGTACATTGCAATGTAGCCATTTTTGGGGTACATTGGCAATGTAGCAAAAAAACGACAACATTCGTCGGATCCCTGTCGGATTGTCGAAATATAGCCAAAAAATGATACATTCGCCGAATCCCCGTCGAATGTCGAAATATTGCCTGAAAATTGAGGAGATTTGACGAAGCTCGTGTCCGATAGTCAAATTTGAACCCGAGTGTGACGGAGTTTATTGAGCATACTTGTTTTTCAGGGGCCCAATGATCCTGCTTGCTAACTTGCTCTATTTGCCAAAGCACTGTTGTGTAGCAACTTCGCTTTCATTAATTTGCACTTGCTTCAGCAAGTGTAAACACCACGTTATTGACATGGACATTTGATGATGTGTGTAGCTAGCGATGGTTGAGAGCTTGCCATCAGACTCTTGCAAGTGTTGTTTTCCGGATGAGCAGGCTACGAAATCCACAATTGCGAGATTGATTCTGTTCGTGCATATGGGCAGTTCTTATGGGACTGTGTGTGTGTGCAGCGTTGGTGCACTCTTATGAGAAAGCCGCTCTAAGTATTGAGTACGCAAACTGTTCGACCACTGGCACTATCGCTGCCAACCAACATGGGGTCGGACGTGCAACGCAAAGCCACCCTCGAGCTCTATTGCTCATGTAAACGTGCTTTGATCTCGAGTTATGCGTATTTGAAATGAAAACCCTACAAATTCAACATGCTCTGAGCCAAAGGAACGGACTTGCCGACCTTGAGCCGCATTGGAAAGCACAGCCATCTATCAACTGTAAGGGATTTATGTTACAACACTACAGCCTACAGGCAATTGCAAGTGTGGACATTTTTCTGGCTGTGCCGAACGTTTGAGATATGAGGAGCGCCGAACCAAATTGGCCTACCGAGTCGACTCCCAACTGCCGCCCACTAACTGTTGGCCATTCAAGTGTGCTCAATCTACGCAGCAAGATGTCCAAGCATACCAACAAGAAACTCCAATTTATCTTACCAAAAAGCGTTGTTTTTAATTCCGCTAAACAAAACATAGACACACATATCTTATGTATGTGCAAATTTACTGTGTATACACATGTACAAGACTTTAGGTACACATGCAGCTAATGAATATCTAAGCTCAGAACATAAAGCAGTGTTCTTATTTGTAGGTTTACAATGACTGCATTGCGATTGGGCAGACCTGGCGTTTTGCCGCTTGAGCATGGGATATATGATGCTGCACGCGCGACATGTATGTCAATTATTCGGTTGCCAATACTAAGTGCTATGTAAACTCGGATAAGGAGCCACCAAGCTTAGCATGCATGTCTTCAGAGCTCTTGAGTATGGAGACTCAGCATCCGGATTGTCTACTCGCATCAGCTCTGGCTCGCATCAACCATGCAAAAAGCTCAGTCTTGCCTATTCAAAGCTTGCCGCGCAAGAATGAACTTCCCTGTCAGCAAAGGACTCTTCAATGAAGTTCGAACGTCTACTAAAGGCCCAACAAGTACCTATTTTTGCTATGTGGCTCCCCAAAAGCAGTTCAGCAAAGGTCCGTTTTCCCCCTGGCTGACCAAAGTATGTCCCTACCATGTTCTTAGCGATTTGGAGCAAACGACCCAACAAATTTCGTTTGTTTTTGCGTGGCTTCTTCTCGGATTGTGTTCCTGTCCTTTGCTTGTGCAAACGAAAAACCGTGATTTGGCGTGATTTGGCGTGAAAAGTTGTCGGATTGTCTTCTTATTTTTGCTTACGTTAACGGAAAACCGTGAAATAGCGTGAAATAGCGTGAATTTTTGCCGGACTGTGTTCGTGTGTTGTCCACGCGTTTTACGAGAAGCAACGCGTGATTTCGCGCGATGACACGTCGGACGAGGCTCGATTTTTGTTGGCGCCGTGAGTTGGAAGTGATGTGGCTTGATTGTTGGCGTCAGCTGGCAAGCTGGCCTAGAAACAGCGGAGAAACGCTTGTCAAACAAATGGCTTACTAGCGCGTATGCCCAATGAGGGCAAAGCACTGAGCCCAAAACATTCGCAGAAAAGCTGACAAGGACATGTTTAATCAAGGAGAGCAATAGACAAACATGTTACGTGTGTCCTTTATAGTTGGGTTTCATCAAAAAAAGCCGAGTCCTTGCAAAGCAACATATGGGGCTTGGACTGCGTCATGCGCGTCCAGTCTCAATCATTCTCCTCAAGACCGCCGCTTGAGCCCTTCCCAGCACATCTCGTTTGACATCCACGTTTGTTAAGTACAGCAATTTGTTTTTTGTTAAGTCTGTGAATTTTGCATTGCGGCATGGGGGCATGGCAGGCTTAGAGCCTTAATCACTATCTGACCAGTGTGGCAAGCAGTTGCCGCTCGAATGGTGATTGGGAACTGCTAGCAGGCTAGCATGCGTTTAAAGTGAGCCTCCTGGAAAGAAATGAAACACCTGCTTTGAACAACCAGGGCTTTTTAAGTTGGGCCTGCGCTTTGGACTGGGTTGCGGCATGGTGTTAAGCAAGTATTTGGTTGGAGATGTGATCGTTGGAAATTAGACCCCTTACCTTCGGTTGACGGTTTATGGCCTGCGAACAAGCTTGTCATGATGACCCATCGCCCCTGCGTAGGCACGCATCAAACATAATAGCAACTAAGCTCGCAAAGGCAGAGGTTGCAGCTTGCAAGCAATCAGGAAGCAACACGCATTTAAGCTACACACGGGCAAGTTGACGAAATTGTGTTCCTGTGGACAACAGCGATGTAACATCATTCTGCTTCATCGTTAGTTTGGGGGGCATCAACCCCCATGAGCGATTGGATAGGTTTTGTTGAGAGTGACTGGCGGGATCTCCTGCTGCGAGGTGTTTTGCAAGGAGTTGTTGTCCTCCATGCGCAATAATTATGTTTGTTGAGTGATCTTTGCTAACCGGCGTTGCCTCAGTGTGATCCTGCGCTGGAAATGTGCTTCATGGCGTGGCCTGAGAAGTTTGAACTATCGCACACGTGTTTCGTCGTCACACTGTTTCGTCAAGCAAGCCAGCCCATCAAAAAGGTTAACGTTACAATCGGAAGCCCTCAGCGGGATCTGCTACACTATGCTGGTGGATTCCTTCTTTTGCGTGCCAGGCAACCAACATTTACTGACAATGATAGCCGGGGTTGGCTCTCGTCATTTTGTGCCCTGATTGTGCCCTGTAGCTGTTGCCAGTCATTCGCAGTTTAAGTTTTGTCCGTACATCAATTTACGGCGCGCCTTTGTATTTTCCTGCATAAAGGCGTTGGAAAGGGTGGTTGGAGGGCGTCGTCGGATAGAGTCGTCGAAATTGAGGCGAGCTTGTTGTCGGAAGGCTTGTCGGAACCCTTGTCGGAAGTTGTCGGTTTGAATGTCCCCAAAAATTGGCTACATTCAGGTTTATCGGTCAATGTAGTTGAAAAACGCTGGCGTCGGCCAATGTAGGCGATATATGCATACATTGGATTGTCAGGGTAAGGAAAAGTGTGGGACCTTTCCTAAAACTCTTTGACAGCGAGGGTGGTATTCTTACGGCTAAAGGCTGTTTACCAGTCCGGCATGCCAAAGCAAGGAAAGCATACCGTGTTTCTCATCAGGCAGTCGAGCCGATCCGGGTTCAACAAGCATACCACCAAGATCTTAGTGCTTTCTCAAAATGGCCGCTTTCAGGGAAAACGCAAAGGAAACCAACTTATTCAGGGGACCATTTTGAGAACCGTGAGCTACAAAGTGCTAGCTGCAATTCGACGGGAAACGAGCTAGCAGAACCGAGAACAAAGACCCACGGTGGATTACAGCAAGAATTGCAAGTAAACATACCACAAACCATGGAGGAACTACAGGACTCGCCTAGTTGACTTGCAAGTTTTCGGGAAGCACGCGTATCTCTGAGCCATTACTGGCCGGGCAAAAGCATCGTAAGCCCGTCGCAAGCCCCTCTTTGGACAATTGGGCCGTGAATTTCAATTAGGGTGCACATCAGTTACATGGGGACATCTGTTCACCAACCATTTCAAGGGTCCCCCATAAAACGTCATAGCCAGTTGAACAGCCCAGAGCAGACATCTCTCGGAAACATTGGCCGGGTGACGACGCATGTAAGGGGAACTTCGAGGGTGAAAGTAGATGGCAGAATTTTCTGTATGCGGGGCAGCGGGTGACTAAACGAAAATGGACTGTAGTCATCCTCTTTAGGTTGAACAACTCATGCTCCAAGTGAAAGGTTGAAAGCGCAAAACACGATTTACATCTTGATTTATGTCCACCAGCCACTTCTGGGTGTGGCTCAAAATTTACGAGCTAGGGTTACGCAGGTTTTAGTCTTTGGTTCCATTCACCAAGGCCCCTTTGTAGTACATGCTTTTGAGCCACAGCCTTCTGAGGTGGTTCCAACTCTTAAAATTCAGAGCACAAAAGTGGGGGACCAACGTCCTCGGCCCCGTGGCCCCGTTCGGGTTGCGGAAGCCTGGAGGCGACGGCTGCTGGCCTGACACGGCCACTGCCACGGCTTCCCCTGTATCATCACCCCAGAAGCTCTCTTTTTTTGTACGGTCTTTCCTCGAGTGATCAAAGACAGCCGGACATAAGACGACCAATCAAGCTTCCATCATACTATAACATGCATCCCACATAGCTTGTTTTGCGACACACCCACATTAGACTTCGCAAGCACAAGCCGCGGCCGCTTTTCGCGGCCGAAAGCCTCGCGGGTCCCCGGGTCTGCCGACCTTTCGGCAGTTCGTGAGCTTGAATCACGGGGGGTCCGGGTGCGACTTCCGCTGGGCCAGACTGCACTAAGCTTCACTTTTGCTTGTTGCAAGGGACAATGATGGAAAGCCACGTAAGCTAAGTCTGGAAAGGCCTGTTTGCGTGGACTCTTCCGACCCCAGCGGAGCGCTGGCTCTAGTGTCAGTTGCTGTGCTTTGAAACAGCAAGGAAGGTGTCCAGGTTAGGCATTCATGGCTTCCTTCAAACAGCGGGCCACAACAACTCCAACCCATCCGCTCCTCAACTTCAGGAGCGAGATCCTGCCCGATCCCCTGATCCCCCTCCAACTCTAGATCCCACATCCCCCCTCCCCACATCAGTAGTGGAGGGCCACGCCTAGCAAATAAATTGCTTCATACATACACCCCCCCCTACATTTTTTTTCATCTTCCATCTTCTACCCTTATTTGTTTTCATCATTTTTCTACATTCCTTTCTGTCCATCTCATCCGTTTTTTTCTCATCATTTTTCCAAAATGTTCGCCATCCTTTTCTCCTTTCTCCTCGCCTCATTCATTTCACCATATACCTCTCAAAATATCATTTCCTCAATCTCCTCGCCTCATCCATTTCAAAAAAATAAATTTTGCAAAATATATTGCAAAAAATATTTGTCATCAAAAAAATATTCGAACTGTCTAAAAACGATTTGTCCATTTCCCGGACAAAAAATAGAACAGCAACAACATCACTCTCCTCCTTCGTTTCATCAGTTTCATCATATATATGTTTAGGCGTGGTGTCCCTTGTAGGATTTTACCTTCAATATATAAAACGCTATACTGACATTATAATTATAACATATAAGGGTATAAATGTTATAATCATAGTATGATTAATAATTATGGGTTAAATTTATAGTCAGGAAATATGTCTTCAAATATGTAATCTACATATTTATCAATATCACCAATGTCTATATATTTGATATTGTCTTTTCCTATTATTGAATACATATATTCCCAGAAAAACAAATTAACTAGTAGCCATACTTGATATTTAGTGTTGTAGTAAGACCATACATGATATTTAGTTATTCTAAATTCATTCAAGACCTCGTTTATTTTATCTTTACTTAATAAATGCCAATCAATCGCATCAAACATGCCTCGAAATTTTTTAACAAATGCTTTATATGGTTTAACTGCGCTTGTCCCTCCAAACCTCTTAATTAAATCTTTATTATTAAAGAACTCATCAATTTCTTTTTTAAATGACTTTCTAGCAATTTTATGGTAAAAACATACAGGACATCGTTTTTGATATCTCATAAAGAATTGCAATTGTAATTGAAACTTTGTATATCCCTTATCCTTATGTTCTTCAACAAAAAACTTTTCAAGGTCTCTTGTTATACAGCATTGATTACAATATACATCATATTCACTTATTTTATTACATAGATTAGCAGGTAATAACTTATACAATGTTGTATTAACATCATTCCTTTTAGTTGTACAACATTCGCACTTTGAATAATTAAATAACATTTCTATTATAATATATATTATTTTTATTTCTTTAAATACTTTTTTACAAGAAATAAAATTACATATTGAAATATAATTATAACATATAATATTTTACATGTTATTATTATATTATGATTATAATTTAAGTTCAGGATAATAATTTAATTGATACATCTTCCCTCTTTCATACATCATTTTAAAAATAATATTAATAGTTTTCACGGTATTTTTCACATTAAACTTTTTATCTTCAATATTTGATTTAATGTCTTCTTTTACATCAAACCCTTCTCTTCTACGATATAACAATATCCATAAAATGTGGTTAATCATGTCATACTTTTTCTTACTGATTTTAAGAAACTGTTTAACATAATCGTAAGGCGGTCTTTCATACACAGTTAGAAATATTATAATGTCATCTTCAACATTTCTATTATGTCTTCTTTTCAGATTTAAATGACATCTGATTAATTCTTGATTATCTCTCCAGGTTTTACAATTTTCGCATATATCTTCTTCATCCATTGAATAATCGATAATATGATTAACTATTCCATTAGGTAAATTCAATTTATACAATTCCATGTTTTCTTTTTTTAAGTGGCAACAATCATAGCATTTTTTATTGATATAATTATTGATTACGGTTTCCATCATTTCTATTATAATATATATAGTTTTTATTTCTTTAAATACTTTTTTCCAAGAAATAAATTTATACCTTTAATAACTCATGTCTCAAAAATGCCCTGTCATAATTTTCAATATAATAATATTCCTGTCCTAACTTCTTTTCAATCTTTGCTATTTTGTAGGTTTGTTTAGTCCAATGGCTTGTGCGTTCCTTTTCTGTTATTCCTTTCTTCCTTGCTATTTTGACTTCATCTGAGGTTTTCAACTCAGGATATTTTCTGGTCATTCTTGCGTGAGTTGCAATGTTGAGCCCTACGGTCAAGTTATTTTTTGGTTGTCTTGCTTCCTGCGGTGTGTGTCCAGTTGTAGAATGAACCATTTTATTATTATAAGTAAGTAATACTTCAAAATTATAATCTGTCCATTGTATATTTTCCTTTCCTTTTTTCTCATCGTGTTCAATCCGCTTATACAGCATTTGTTTGTATGTGCGCACAAAGCGTTCGGCCATTGGAGCATGACCTCTCGTTAAATATAATTCAATGCCTTCTTTTTTGAAATAATCTTGAATAATGCTTGTTGTAAATGAACCTTCCATATCTCCATAAACCATTTTTGGCTTTCTTCCCATTTTGTGTAATCCTTCTACTATTCCATGTGCTACATCTTCAGGTTGTTTAGATTTGATAGGTATAACAACTGCATATTTTGTGAAAGCGTCAATAAATAAGAAAGCAACCCTATTTTTTTGATTTGTTAAATCACTGAAAAAGAATAAGTCCATTTGATATTCCCAGTATGGTTCTTTCGGAATAAAACTGTTATATCCTCTCATTTTAGTTTTTTGTTCAACATTATTTTTAAAGAATGCTTCAATATCTGCCATTGTTATGCTTTTATCCTTTGCCCTACTGTCCTTAAGTGTGGTGGCTTTACTTCCAAAGCCTCCCTTATCATAATAAACATTATTAATAATATCTTGCTTAGATGCCATATAAAATAAGATAGATATTATTTTTCCCGGCGATTACAGTTTAAACAGTAAGATATACAGTTTTCCTTATGATGGGCATAATCGTTGTTTATTCTTTGGGCTGTCATATTGCTATTTATTACTCCATTATTTATTTCTATGTCAAAATCTGAACTGCATTTATTACATCTGGTATTAAGCCTGTCAAATAACCATTTGACATCAATATATTGTTTGTTGTCTATCTCTCTCTCTGCTTTCATGTCTTGTAATTTATATTGTTTAATCTTATGTTCTAAATACCTGGCTACTTGTGCTTCATTTAAATCAGTATCATCTACGTCTGCTTTGAAAAACTTGACTTTATTGATATCTCTGCATCTCGTGAGGGCTGTCCAAATCCACTCACGGCTGACCAAATGCGATTTGTCCCATTCGTGTATAGTAATGCTTTTATCTAGAGAAGCCCCTTGAGACGAATGGCATGTAGCACAATAAGCATGTATAAAGTGCTTGTCTAAAGTCGTGGTGTTTGTCATGAATATAGTTTTACTTTTGATATCTTGGATTTCTACTTTCCAATCATCAATACTAATAATTTCATAAGTAATATTTACATTAAACACCTGCCCCATTTCCTTTTTATAAACTCTGCATATCACATGCTCTCCAATTTCATATTTATCTGTCTTTCCTAAATTATTTCTTACGGTCTTGCTTACCCATTTGCACCTAGCATTAGTATAGGCTATGTTATGCTCTCCTTCCATGATGTCGCTTGTAGTTTCAAAATGTTTATTTACTATTTCCTTAATGGGCAGTTTATTTTTCCAAATGTCATTATATATATCATTCAATTTAATTTTATCTTCTTCTGTCTTAAGTCTCTTAGATATCTTAAGATAAATCTTATATTTAAATATTTGATTAAGACAGTTGTTTAAATATGTCTCGTGGTCCTGGGTGTTAGTTAAATCAGCTATAGGTTTCAACTGCTTCCCGTCAGCAGTTCCTATAATTATCTTCTCTGGGTACGTATCCTTAAACTCCCTAACTCTGTTCAAAATATAATTGCCCGCCATACCTAGCTCATCAAACACAATACAATTATAATCAGAATGGTCAAATGTCGGTAGTCTTTCTCCAGCTTCTATTGGAATACTGAAAAACTTGTTTAATGTTACGGCGTCGGCTTCGGTTTCTTGCTTCTGCTTGTTATTAGAACATACGAATAACACATTATAACCTAGATTTTTCATATATTCGCCTATATAACTCTTGCCGCTTCCAGCCAGTTTTGCTTTTATCAACACCGGATTACACGACACAATTTGCTCACAAATGCTTTTGGTGTCGTATTCGTCTTTAACACGAATTTTTACATTATTGTAAGTCGGAATTTCTGATAACTCATTAACCTTAATTTTGTATATATCACTCGGTGGTGATACTTGTTTATTATCTTCAGCTCTCCATCCTCCCCTTTTGGTTGAAAACTTAATCAATGTTTTGGCCTTGTCAATATTTTTCCTATCAATAATGAAGGCATCGGTTTTAACACTATGCACATTGATATTGTTGTTTTTCAATGTTTTATAATCTTTATGCATTTTAAAATTATGTCGTTGCATGAGTAGC